GGAGGAGGAGGAGGAGGGGGAGGAGGAGGTGAAGGAGGAGAAGGAGGAGGAGGAGGGAGGAGGAGGAGGAGGGAGGAGGAGGAGGGACGAGGAGGAGGAGGAGGAGGAGGAGGAGGAGGAGGAGGAGGACGGGTCGCCTAAGCCCTTTCGAGAAACCCTTCATCCAGACCAGGCGTTCGAAGCGCATCCAGCCGTGGCGACGAGGGCTTCCCGGGAGGCCCGAAGCGGCGAAGACAAGGCCAGGGTATGGTGGTGTCGGTGCCCTGCCCTCCTCTGTCCAAGGGAAGGGGCCTGCGGCGCCCAACGCGTGCATGCGGCGATGCGAGGCGGGGATTTACCCACATCCGCCGCCTGGCAATCGACGTCCTGGTGCCCCAGCGGGCGGTGGATATGGATACATGTTGCCCCCCGGGTGCCCAAATATATCCGTATCCACCGCCTGCCGAGGTCCCCGAAAGCGCTGATCCTCCAAGCGGTGGCCATGTATAAATTCCAGCCTCGCACGCGAGGCGGAATTTCGGACGCGTCGCCGGGAGGCGCCTGCCAGGCAATCCTTCGGCAGACGCCCCGCGGGGCAGTACTGGAAAGTCTTCGCGAGAAGAAGGGCGACGAAGCAAGATAGACACGTCGTTGAACCGAACGTAAGACGAAGCCAGAACGAGGATAAACCCGGGCGAGTATGCATCGAGAATCTCTGAGATCTGGCGGCTCTGAAGTCTCTGGAGGACGTCTCGGGCGCCGCGGCATTCATTCTCTCAGGGCTTCCGGAACGCCCTTATAGAGCGTTCGGGAACGCTCTGGAACGGATTCCTCTTCGTCGTGGCCCCGCCCGAAATGATCCCATATTCGTCCCATGATCGAGCCCGATGAAACAGGCCAGGTTCGGCGAGGCTCCGTGGAGTTTGGGGGGGTGGCACCAGATCAGGCCTCTCTCGGACCACGGGTCTGCAGGTGCCGATGCAGACGTTTACCTCCCCGAAGGTGCCCCCTCAGTGAGGGGGGAGGAGGAAGAAGCAGTGGGGAGGAGCAGAACAGCGGAGAACAGTCCACAATAAACCTTCCACAAGAAACCCAGCCCTGAGACCCCAGGACGCCCATTGATTGAGTCTTGGTGTGGGGGCGTCGCGCCTTCCACAGCAAACCATCGAAACCCAAGAAACCCAGGGCAACCTGGAGGCAAGCAGGGTGTTGCTTGGCATGGGTCTCCACTGCACCTCCCCGAAGTTGCACCCTCAGTGAGGGGAGAGGAGGCAGAAGCAGTCTGGAGGAGCAGTAGGGGCTGTAAACAATTATCGTACCATGCGCGGTGGCGGGGCTCGACCTGAACAGTGTTTTTTCGCTTCCTTTTTCCCTCGTCTTGTCTCCAGTCCACCCCTGCTGCAAAACGAAGTCGAAACGAAAACGGCCCACGAAATCGCCGAAACACCGTTTGGGTCGACCCCCGCGTCGTGGATTGCCCGCCGTCCTCGCTGCGGTGGCACTGTCATAAAAAACGCTTTGCCACCGCTGCGGGATGCTGGCAAATGATACGTAACAGTCGGCGAATCCACGCCGAATGTATCCACGGGTGGAGGACGCATGCAGATCCGCGCCCTCGAGGACAGGTTTCCAAAGCGCGATGCCATGAATGCGCGGTCGCATGGATACGTTCCGCGCGGGGTGGGGGGAATCCGCGAAGAAGCGCCCTGTATCCCTGGGGTTGCGGCCGAGGGGCCCGGCTCCTGAGGCCGTGGGTGCATACGTTTCCGGCCCGCGATGTATTATGGACGGGCCCGCCCGGAGGCTCGCAAAGAGTTCGGGAAGTCGGGGCCCGTACGGACTTGCTCCCTGTACAGTCCAAACTGATAGTGAGGATGCGCGGTATGGATGCGAGGGCCCTGGAAGGCCATGCCGACACTTTTGGAGCGGGGCGTGGCAATGGCCAAGGATGGGCCGAAAGGGAAGGATGCAAGGGTTCGAATGGAGGATCGATTATAGAATTTAATTGCCCCCGAACTTGATTTCTCCGTCGGGTCTACGAACGATGCGTATGATGCTCTGTAGATCTACGGAACACTCACGCTACGTACTTCTCGCAGGGAGTCGGCGGAACGTCCAGTTTTTAATGGCAAATGAATCCTGCAGTCGATCCCCCACTCGAAGGGTAACCTTGGAAAGTCGCTCGTCCTAACTACCACTGTTGACTGCACTGGCCGCGCGTGCGCGCCCCCTGAGCATCGTTTAACCGATCCCCATCCCTACCAGCGTGGGCTGGGCCCCACTGGCCGATTTACCCCCCTGGATAGGGATATAGGCTGCTCTTTTCGAGTTTCGAGGGGTATATCCCCAACTGAGGTGGTGAGACGGTGGGGCTCGAGATGCGGATGGGGATGGGGATAGGATAGGGACCCGTTAAACGATACTGACCCCCGCCGCGCCAGCCTTTCGCGGCCGCAGTCCCTCGGGCGCGCCAGTGCCCCGGCTTCACCATAAGCCCCCGCGGGAGGGCCCCGACCAACGCTCACAGCGGCCGTGCAGGCGTCCCCTGCGCAGAGGGCAGAATTACACCAGAGAAAACCCTAATCAATGGATGGTTCGAAATGGGATCGATAAAAAGATCGATAAGAAGATCGACAAGGAACTGGGGAACCCGGAACCCACCGAAATCGGCCTGGAACAAATGGCCAAGGAACTCAGAAGCCTGGAACCAGGAACCCGGGAACCCAGCTGGCCAACAAAATCGGCGGGAAACTTTCGCCAAATCTTTCAATTTCCGCTAGGACCCCTTCAGTGCAAGCACTGATTGGGGAAAAGTCCACCCCCAGAATAATCACCCCGACAAGCGAAGCCGTTCAGTAAACGCACCCAAGGAAGGAATCGAACAGGGCGGGGCTTCTGGTAAACGTCCAGGGCCGTTCTGTAAACGCCAGTTGTCTGGTCTGGGTGTTTTTCCTCCCTTGACTGCGAGGCCTCGGGGCCCGATCTACTGGCGACCTTGCATGCCTCGCTCGGCGCGGTCGCCACGTCCTCCTCGCACTCGTCGACGGGGGGCGTCGGCCACGCCACCTCTTGGTTCCAGAGCTTCACGTCGCTCAGGCTACCGTTGAACTCCTGGTCGGCGTACAGGTAGTGGCCGCCCAGGATCATGCGCGGCCTGTCCTGTCGCAGGGGGGCCATTCCCTCTGCATTCTCCCCCACGAGCGCGCCGTCCTTGAAGACCCTCATGTGCCCCGAGGGAGAGGCCGTGCAAAGCATGGTCACCTCTCTTCCGAGCTCGAAGAAATTGCTCACCACCGTGCTGAACGGCTTCTTGCCCCGGAACACGGTGAAGTGCAAGTCGCTCGTCAGCCCGATGGCCCCGACCGACTCCAGCTGCCGGTGCCGTCCATCCTCAGGGTGCACATGAACGAGAACGCCCCGCCCATCCGGACGGCGCTGTTCGGGGCGTCGAGCGCCAGGTTGATCGGCCCCTCCTCTGCGAGCGCACCCGGGTGCTCCAGCAGGGGCTTCGCGGCGACGCGGGGCGCCGTGGCCGGGCCTGCGGCCGCCGGGCTTCGGGGCCGAGGGCCGGCGCCAGCGTCCGCGGTGTCCGCCATGGTGTGTTGGCAGCCCGCGCGCCGGGCCTGCGGGGGGAGCGCGCAGGAGAGCTGCCTGCCGCAGCAGCGCTGCAGAACGCGGTGTCCGATAGAGAGAGCACTCGAGCCGAAGTGGTCACGAAAGGCTGGTCTCGGCGAGCTCAGTCTGGCGGTGCTTCACCGTCGACCGCCTCCTCGGCAGCGCGGCCTGTCTCAGAACGAACTGGCGAGGGGTGCGGCTATACGAACGGACCCTAGTTCGAAGGATTGTGGCATTTGCTTGTTTTCGGCCTTCCGACGGCCCGAGACGACCCAAGAGCCCCCAAAGATCGCCCAAGAGGTCTCCAATACGGCCCCAGAACGGCCCAAGAGGTCCCCAAGACGGCCCCAAGAGGACCCCAAGACGGCCACAAGAGGCCCCCAAGACGGCCCAAGAGGCCTCCGAGACGCCCAAGATGACCTCCAAGACGGCCCTGGAACACCCCAAGCGGGCCGCAAGACGGCCCAGAGAGGCCCCCAAGACGGCTTCCGACGGCATCAGACGGGCCAGGAGCCCACCAAGCCGGCCAAAGAGGCCCCGGAGAGGCCCCCAAAGGTCCAAGAGGCTCCCAGGAAGCTCCCAGGAGGCCCTAAGAGTGTCCCGAGAGGCTCCCAAGATGCCTCCTCCTCCTCCTCCTCCTCCTCCTCCTCCTCCTCCTCCTCCTCCTGTTACTCATCCTGTTCCTCCTCCTCCTCCTCCACCTCCTCCTCCGCCTCCTCTTGATCTTCCCCGCCATCCTCCCCCAAGTGTTCCCTGTAGGGTTTCCACAACGGTTGGCGGAACACATGGCCAGATACCTTGGCAGAGCATTTGCCACACCGCTCGGCCACATGGACGATTCTAGAAGGCGGGGGGCGGCGGTGATTCGCCGTAGGCGTCTTAGACATAGATACAAGCAGAAGTCACGCAGCACGCAGAAACAGCAACAGCGACTCTCCCCGAAGGGGTCGGCGGTGCGGCGTAAGCCAAAGAATCAGGGTGGGAGCCCGTCCTCGAACCACCCTCGTCGTCGATGAAGCTCCACCCCTTGTCGTCGCCGGCCGCGCCCTTCGGCTGAGCCACGGGGTGCAGCTGCGCGAGCAGCAGCCGGGCGACTGGTCGCCGAGCTTTTCTGCTCCGCCCCCCCTGCGTGGGCCAATACGGTACAGTGGAGGCTAATCAACAAGAAACTTCCACAAGCAGGATGGCGTGGGAGCGGCATGCCTTCCACGGCAAGTCCACGAGAAACCCAGGGCACCCTGGAGGTAAGCAGGGTGCTTCTTGGCAAAGGCATCCACGATAAGACATCGGACTGTCAGAAGTCCGGAAGCATGTCGGGAGCGGCCAAGAGGGGGGTGTCCAAGAGGGGGGGTGCAAATCATGACCGGCGGCATGTGCGCGGCCCAGCGGGGGGGGGCCAGGGACGTAATGAAATAAGAAGGGGCGCCATGAAATCTGGGGAAAAATCATGGCCCGCGCCATGATATCCACCCCCCCCTAGTCATCACCCCCCTCTTTTCCGCCCCCGAGCATGTCGAGCGCTGAGCCTCCTGTGGGTGCCCTCCCGGAACTTGCGGGGGCGCCCCAATGCGGCCACCCGGGGACAGACGACGACATCCCGCGGGGGCACCTGCTGGCCGGCCGGTTTTTTCTTTTTGTTTTTAGCGCGCCAGTATGCTGCAGCTATATAGAGAGGCCACGCCCGCCTCTCCAGACGCCCCGACGTCATGTCTTTTCCACGACGCGGCCCCCAGGAGGGGCGAAACGTTGACACGCGTAGTGAAAAGGCACGGGCTTGAGAGCGCCATACGAGTAAGGTGAGCCATTCCCCCAAATTGGTTTTTCTCATCCTGAATCATTTTTGACGGTCCCGAGGCCCAGTATAGAGGCCCCGAGGGGCCGAAGACAGCGAAAGCCCTCCGTCGTGCTTTTGTCGTGACTCGAGGGGGCGTGGGTCCCCAGACCTCGGCAAACAAGGTTCTAGCAAGGTTTTTACCCAGGTTTTAGCAAAGAAAACTGGGGAAGCATTGGTTTTAGCAAGAACCTTCGGCACCTGGGGGCCCTGAATCACCAGGCCCCAAAAGCCGTCAGTGAGCGGCTCAAGAGGAGGGGCTGAGACCTTCGGGCACCCACGCCGTGGGCAAAAAGCACGACGCTGGGGGTCTGGGGGCAGCCCCTGACTGCCGACGACGCGCTTTAGCACCCGGAGCGTGCTGCCCCACTTCTCTCACTGAGAGCTCCATTCTATCAAGTTTGTTTCGCTTGTGTTGCAGGCGTGTGCTCTGTATATCAGCACTGGCCAGCAGCTTCAGCAAGCAGCATGCGTATGATGTGTATGGTGTACTGGCGTACTGGCCCTTGCCACTTGTGACCGAGGGCCCCCTGAGACATAGCACAGAAAAGCACATCCTCCCAGAGAGCGCCTGACCTGAAAGATTGCGAGGCACGGGTGTATCCATATCCACCGCTCACGAAGCCGACGTCCGGGGACCTTAAAGGGGGGTGGATTTTAGAAGTAGAAAAAACGCCATAAACATAATCTTTTGGCGCTCCGCGCGGATTTCTTGGATTTGCGCTGGACCCCCCTCCCTGGCGCGCGGAGCGCGCCAGTGGCGGCGTTGGAGGCGCCGCCGGGGAGGGCCAAAGCGTGAACCCAAGAAATCCGCGCGGAGCGCCAAAAGTTTATGTTTATGGCGTTTTTTTCTTAGAGATATGGATGTATGTTTTGTGACCCAAGGGGCCCGAATGTATCCATATCCGCCACCTGCCAGGGGCCCCGAAGATCGACACCCCATGCGGTGGCTACGGATACATCCGCTATACCACCTCCCCGACTCGGAGACACGACGCCGCACATCCCGAGTAGACTTAGGTCGGGCATGTCTTGCTACTAGACGCAACAATAAATTAGCCTGGCGAAGGACCCAACCATATGCAGTTGTGAGTACCGTCTTTGTGAGCAACGCATTCGGTGGGGCTCACTATGGGGCCACGAAATGCTGTCCTGGGTGGGGAAACGCATGCGAATGCAGCCACTGGGGCCTTCGGTGGAGCTCCCCATGTGGCCACGAAGCGCTGTACTGGGTGGCGCGGACGCATGCGAACCCTGCCACTGGGGCCTTGAGCATGTGCGTCGTCGTCGCCGTCGATCTCAGACGACGACGGCGACCGCGACGGCGACGGCGACGACAACGACGACGGCGAGGACGACGAGGACGAGAACGAGGACGAGGATGACGACGACGTCCGACGACAATGATCGCGACGGAGACGGCGACTGACGACGACGACGACGACGACGAACCCCGATTGAGGCCGTCGGTGGAGCTCCCTGTGGGGCCACAAATCGCTGTCCTGGGTGGGGGAGACGCATGCGAACGCCCCCATTGCGACCTTCCGTGAAGCTCCTTATGGGGCCACGAAGCGCTGTCCTGGGCGGGGGAGACGCATGCGAACACCCCCACTGGGGCCTTCGGTGGAGCTCCCTATGGGGCCACGAAACGCTGTCCTGGGTGGGGGAGATGCATGCGAAAACCCCGTTTGAGGCCTTCGGTGGAGCTCCCTATGGGGCAATAAAAACGCTGTCCTGGGTGGGGGAGGCGCGCGCGAACACCCCCAGTGGGGCCTTCGTTGGAGCTCCCTGTGCCGCCACGAAACGCTGTCCTGGGTGGGGGAGACGCATGCGAACACCCCCACTGGGGCTTTCGGTGGAGTTCCCAATGGGACCACGAAGCGCTGTCCTGGGCGGGGGAGACGCATGCGAACACCCCGATTGATGCCTTCGGTGAAGCTCCCGGGGGCCGCGAAATACTGTCCTGGGTGGGGGGACCGCATGCGAACACCGCTATTAGGGGCTTTCGGTGAAGCTCACAATGGGACCACGAAGCGCTGTCCTGGGCGGGGGAGACGCATGCGAACACCCTCAGTGGGGCCTTCGGTGAAGTTCCCTGTGGGGCCACGAAACGCTGTCCTGGGCGGGGGAGACGCATGCGAACACCCCGATTGAGTCCTTCGGTGGAGCTCCTTATGGGGCCATAAAAACGTTGCCCCGGGTGGCGGAGACGCATGCGAACACCTTCAGTGGGGCCTTCGGTGCAGCTCCCTATGGGGCCACGAAAAGCTGTCCTAGGTGGGGGAGACGCATGCGAACACCCTCAGTGGGGCCTTCGGTGGAGCTACCTATGGGGCCACGGAGCGCTGTCCTGGGCGGGGGAGACGCATGCGAACACCCCGATGAAAGCCTTCGGTGGATCTTCCTGGGGCCGCGACATATTGTCCTGGGTGGGGGAGGTGCATGCGAACACCCCTACTGGGGCCTTCGGTGAAGCTCACAGTGGGACCACGCAGCGCTGCCCTGGGTGGGCCTTCGGTGGAGCTCCCTATGGGGCCACGAAGCGCTGTCCTGGGTGGGGGAGACGCATGCGAACACCCCGATTGAGGCCTTCGGTGGAGCTCCCTATGGGGCCATAGAAACGCTGTCCTGAGTGGGGGAGGCGCGCGCGAACACCCCCAGTGGGGCCTTCGTTGGAGCTCCCTGTGGTGCCACGAAACGCTGTCCTGGACGGGGGAAACGCATGCGATCACCCCCATTGGGGCCTTCGGTGGAGCTCCCTGTGGGGCCACGAGACGCTGTCCTGGGTGGGGGAGACGCATGCGAACAC